AACACAGCCCCCTAATTCTACATCCCTTTAAACCTTAATATAATGTAAACAATTTAGTTGTATAAACATTCAGCCTGTACAGTTGAAGAGGGAAAGGAGCTCTAGAGACCCAAACTGGTTTTGTACCAGAAGTATTTACAGAAAGTTTTGCAGTTTCTGAAAACCTTGAAGAACATTTAATAATGCTCTCATCAAACATCTGTTTCCACGCACACACCTTCTCCTGTTAATCAGTTCATTTGGTGCTATTTGAGGTGTTAAGTGTCGCATGTTGTGAGCGATGTCACGCATGTTCAGTTTGGTGTGTGAACAGGTGTGGAGGTGACCTGCTGCAGAATACATCCCTCTAAAGACTACACAACAAACTCACAAATAAACAGTTGTGTTTGTGTCTGTGTGTCACACGATGTCAACCCATTAGCATGGTGGGTCTCAAGTTTCAGGTGTGTGTGTGTGCTGCGTTTAGGTGTAAAGTCTCACAGCGGGGAAATTAGGTGATTTTCACCTGGAATGAGACGATTAGTGGAAGTGAACAGAGATAAATGGACACATCACACCATGAATATGAATGTGTGTGTGTGTGTGTGTGTGTGTGTGTGTGTGTGTGTGTGTGTGTGTGTGTGTGTGTGTGTGTGTGACTAAAATGTCTATATTAATAGATGTTCCTCTTGCTTGTATTGCAACTAAACAGCTGTTTTCCACACGTTTATAATTTGTTCTCCAGAGAGAGTAAACCTGATGTTCCTTTGATGTTGCATCTTTTACGTCAACATGACACCAGCAGGACGGAGATCGCCTGGCTATAAACATGTGGATTTCTGCTTTGATGTGCAGGATATTTTGACCAAATGAATATTCCTTGGATTTTGGAGTCAGCAATAATTGGACCCTTTGAGGAACTGAAATTCTGCATTTACTTTATTAATGGGCTTTCAACTCCACAGGAAGACACTTGGTCTGAACAGATTCCAATCCATGCCCTCTCCCTTAAAAAACTACATCCTCATTATTTCTCAGTTCTGATCGTTTTCCAATCATATTCTCATCAGTGGCCCGTTCCAGTTCTGTTTGGCTTGCATCTTTATCCTGTCCCAAATTCTGCAACAATCACTGTTTCCATCCATTACTGATCCCGTAGGAATCCTTCCTGGATACCATTTTGATCCTCTCTCATACCTGGTCGTCTCCAGTCCCCTCCTTAAGCCAACCTAGTCCCTAACTGATTCCAGTCCTGACCCATTCTTATGTTTGTCCCTTTGTATACCCGTCACTAGTGTAGTCAAGACCACACTAACCGAGACCAAGACATACCCGAGACCAGAGCGTACCTGAAGTACATCTACAGCTTTAAATTTAAGAGTGCCGGTAGCTGATTAAAGCGTGAACAGAGACATCGACTCAGAGATTTAAAAATATTCCACCCAGAAATGTAAAGACATGGAGGTGTTAATGACGCAAATGGAATTTAATGATTGTTGGTTTGGACTGGCTTCTGTTCAGATTTAGAGAGAGAGAGAGCGAAAGAGAGAGAGAGAAATCGCATTCATAACAAAAATCATTGTTGTTTGTGTAACAAGCTCACATTCACAAACTCATGAGTTGTCTAAGTGTGAAAGAGGACATCTATCACATTCATAAGGACACTGACACTGTCTGTGTGTGTGCGTCTGTGTGCTTTTAATTGCGAACGTTTGGCAACAGCTTCAGTTCATAAAGCAAAAGCCAGAAAAACAGAGAAACCCCTGCAGAGCGAGCAAACAAAGGGAAGAATTCATTTTGTTTCCAACGAGAAGTGACTGAGCCCGGGAGTGAGTCACCACACTGACTAACACTGGAGCAGATTTGCTGCTTTCCAGGCGCACATACTGTACATTTTACACATGGAGGGAAATACCAATAAACACGCTGCACACCATCAGGGGAACGTCGTGTGTCCATGTAGTCATCTGCAGCGCCAACATTTTTAGATCGTCCTTTTAATTGCAACTCCTGCAAACATGGAGAACGACACTCGAGGAATTAACAGTAGTACAGATGCAGGGTTCCATATTTGGTGCAAACGTTTATATCACGACCTGAATGCTACATGGAGATCAAATCTGCAGGCAACTCTGATTTGTGTCTCCTGAATTCCTCCAAAGGACTGAGGGACCAATTCACTAAGAGTCGATTGCTGCTCCTAATTCTAGCTCCTTTTACTTTTTATTAAAACATCTTCTTGGTTTTCATTTAAAACGTACATTTTTCTGTGATCTGTGTTCACGCTGGTCGCTCCTGTAGTCCGTCTGACAGCAGTCAAACACCACTCCCTGCTCGGTAAAAGCTTTGAACCGCAATGCATGATGGTATATATTCCTTGGACGATCATTTGTACACTACTTTTCTTAATGCATCACAGGATACGATGGGCGGCTGTGGTTCAGTTGGTAGAGTTTGTCATCTCTCAACTGGAAGGTCAAGGGTTTGATCACCAGCTCCTGCAGCCACATGTCCAATGTGTCCTTGGGTAAGACACCTAAATCCAAGTTGCTCCCGCTGCTTCGCCAATGGCGTGTGAATGTGTATGAATGGATGAGTTAATATGATGGACTATTTACTCAGCAGCCTCTACCATCAGTGTGTGAATGTGTGCTGACGAAGCAGTGGGAGTAACTTGGGGTTAGGTGTCTTGCCCAAGGACACATCGGACATGTGGCTGCAGGAGCTGGGGATCGAACCCTTGAGCTGGTTTAGAGACGACCGACTCTACCAACTGAGCCACAGCCGCCTGCAATTAATGACTGTGTTGTGATGTCTTGTGTGGAAAAGTTGTGTCTTTGACAAATGTGTCTTTTTTAAATCCATTACCAACAAAGAGCTGTTTGAAGGTTTAGCTCCGGACGTTAGCCTCCAGCTGAAAACACTGGATGGCTCCGCTTCTGTTGGAGTGGAGTTCTGTGTTTAACGGTCCATCACGAGGGTCCATCAGGTCACCAGAGTTAAATCTGCATCATTGACCGATCATGACTGTAACAGCATCGCCTATGGCCCTGCACATTATACATACGTTATTGAATATTCCGCCCTCACATACATGCAGTCGTACATGTGTGTGGAAAATGGGATCAAAAAGCCGGGTGACGCGTCGGAGGTTGCTGACAGACGGTTTTAACAGGACGTTGTCAGATGTTTTCATGTTAAGGCCATGGATCTATTTGGACCTCATCGCTGATGCAAAGTGTGATGTCATAACGCTCAAAATCTGCGAGCTCAGCCTCTTCGTTTCCTCCACTCGCACAATGACGTCTCCAAATTTAACCTTTGAGGAGACATGAACAAATAATCCCAATTTTACTGTTAATGTTTTTTAATTTTTTATTCAAAATACTTCCACCACTAATGATCACATCTCTTAGTGGTCACGCTCTGACTTTTATAGTGTTTCGAATCTCCCTTTTCCACTTTATTACTCAGATGTTTTTCACTCATATTCAACCCGAGGTTATTTAAGTGTCTTTGTACCATCTTCAAGGTAATCTCATTTGGTGTTTCTGAGTCTTTTTGCAGATATAAATGTTTTCTTTGTGTTCCTTTTGCGTCTTTGTTTAGATGGTCTTGGTCTCAGTGTGATAGTTTATTAAGGCCTGAGCACGACTTTGGAGCGATGGCGCTGCTGGAATGAAAGGATTCTTTCAATCTTTCTTTCTTTCTGCCAAATGAATCGGGATTTTGGGGCTTTAACCACCACCCAAAACTCACCAAATCTGGCATGCCCATTAGGCCGGGGAAAAATATATATATATATATATTTATCAAATATTTTGGTGGTTTCGCAGAGAATGACTTTTGCAAAAATGGCTTCAAAGCGCCCCCTTGAATTGACAAATTTAACTTCTCCATAACCAACCAATCAAAATCAAGATGCAGCAGGACTTCTGATATCAGCTTCCACAGGTTGATCTTAAAAGTATCAAAAATGGGTAGGCGTATGTTTCAGGTCAAGACCTTCAAAAAGGTCTCTTATCGTCATGATGAAAACCCAACAGGATTTTTCATGTTATCATGATCTTTTAGTTTCTTTTTTGGGTCATTTTGTGTTTCAATTTCTAGAGAACCTAAAGTTCTCACATGTAAGTGGCCAAAAAACAAAACTATTCTACTGCAGAGATTACGAAACCTTTGAAACCTAAAATATCTAAGGGAAGAACTTGGGCATAATTGGCAATTTTATCAGGGAAGGTGCATTTCAGAGGCAAGGCTTGTCAACAGGCAAGGCAGGCAACTGCTTGGGGCCCCAGACCAGTAAGTGGCCCCCTGAGGGCTCCCAAACTTTAACTGGCCCCATCTGCCAGCACTCACTCTCGTTGCCCTGCTAAGCATCGCAGACATTAATGCTGTGAAAACAGAAGTGTGTAAATGAAAGTCAAACGACAAAATGAAGAGGAATTATCCGTCTACAGGAGAGAAAAAAGAGGAGGAGGAGGAAGTGTCAGAGCAGTGGCAGACATGATGGTTGGAGGGCCCCTCAATTGATTTTTGCAGACTCTAGTATCACCACTGCGTCTTTTATCAAATGATTGCTCAGAAAATCTACAATGTTGAACTCAAACGGATTACAGAAAATGTTGAGGATCAAACAATTATAAAATATAATCCAGCTTTGACGGGAGCGGCCATATTTCAAGTTTTCTTAGTCAGCCATCCCTTTATTTATTTAATATAACTTATTATTATGATGGCTTTTTGATGTTTTCTCGTTGATCTTCATACATCTTCATCTGTTTGATTTTGTCTTTGGAAATCTTCAGCAAACCGATCAAAGATGTCGAACATTCATTCAGGGTCAAAGTCGTAACTTTGAGGTCAAACTAATGGTCTGCTTCTGCCTTTAATGCATCAACATGCATGCAATTAGATCATGCAATAACTCTAACTTCTCGAACTGTAACTTTTGGCTCAGTATTTAAACTTTTGCATGAGTTAGAGGGTCTGATAAGGACTCGGTTTGCAGGTTCGGTTACCTTTTGGTCCACGATGGAGCACGCCACCTCCCGGACCTGACTGAGGCTGAGCTCTGCGGCGTCCAACAGCACCGGCTCCCGGCTCAGACCGATCTGGATTTGGAAGGAGATCACACCATTACCACCTCCTCCCCCTCCATTACCGCCACCTCCACCTCCTCCTCCCCCCTCCTCCTCCTCCCCCGGTGCCGGTGTTGGTGCTGTTTGTCCCCCCTGAGAACGGGAGCGGGCTGGGCGCACGGATCAGCGGAGGCGCACTCATAGGAGCCGTTTCCCCGGAGCTTTCCAATCTGCCAGGAAACAATCAGCAGTCACGACGATAATGGATGACCACACGGGGGATTGACCGTGGAGATTAGCGGTCCAGGTGAAGCGGACAGAGGAGGGATTTTAAACGGTGGAGAGGTTAAGGACGCGCGGAACTCCTCGGAGCGTCAGAAAAGCGTAAAAAGAAGAGTTTCCGAGTGAAAAAACGGCCGATAAACTCATAAAACTACGAGAAAGGGCGCGTTAAAGCCGTGAGGACACAAACACAGACAGGATGTGGGATTAAAGGAGCCATAATGACTACATGACTGGACCGGAGAGCAGCGTGGAAACCGGTGATGGTGACAGAGCCGCGGACGTCAACAGTGGCTGGAGAGGAGGAGGAGGGGGGAGGAGGAGGGGGGAGGAGGAGAGGAGAGGGGCGAGGGAAACCTCCTGGACTGCTGAGGATGATGGAGGGATGATGGAGGGATGATGGATGACATCTTTACTGACGTTTTTACATCATTATATGTGTTTGTCTTCTGGATAATCTGAATATCATTTCACAAGGGGGAAAAGTTTTTAATTATGAACTTGTGAACTTTATGTTTCACATTGCATTGATCAGATATGCTGTTTAAAGTGTAGCCTATCATTATATCGTCTGCAAATTGGTGCATTCCCCCTAAAAATGGGGGGGAAATAAATGTCTCAGTGAACTCTAACTTTGTTATCTGTTCATCAGGTATATTTTTGGTGTTTTTATGCCTTTATTTAAAAGATAGGACAGTGGTTAAGTTAGAAACCAGGGAGAGAGAGGGGGAATGACATGTGGGAAAAGAGCCACAGGTCAGGGCGCCTGCCTGGCGTACCACAGCCTCCGTACATGGGGTGTGCGCACCAACCACTAGGCTACCACTGCCCCTTAGAAATCTTTTCTTTTTTGTTTGTTAAACGTCACTTTCTACACATCCACGTTTCTTTAAACCTGACTGCTTTTAGCTTTCAGACACAAACAGTCAGGGATCAGAAAACTAAACAAACATCCATCACTCCTGCAGAGACACAAACATGAACCTAACATGAAACACACAGGAGAAGTTTCAAGCCTCTCATTTCATGTTTTTCTCCCTCCTTGCTTGGATAAAAAGTTGTTCCACGTCCAGCTTCTTGCAAACGTCTAAAACATTCTTATTTCTCCTCCTCGTCTCTCATTTGTCCGTCTCCTTCATCTCTCCTTGACTTCACCTTGCAGGTATTTGTAGCTGAACTGTGCAGACATCGACCTCCGAACTCTCAACACTAAGCTACACGTCATATATGTTGGTATTTCAACAAGTTTAGTTTGAGCTCTTGCATCCTGAAAACGTCTTTGCATATCTCCAATCCTCGTCAGGACGTACACAGACAAAAGGAAGAGATGTGGGGGAGAGGAATGTCGGTGAAGTAAGGACATAGTGATACTTTTGAGCAGGCAGAAACAGATGAGTTACAAAATAAAACTGTAGACAATAAATGAGGGAGCATTCTACAGGTCAGCGTCATCCTTTACTTCCTTGTAAACTGAACATGTGGTAGAGAAAAAGAGACGTTTGATTTCATGTCGAGGGCCTAAAATGAATCTTCACACTGGAATAAGACCAAAAACAACCTCTCAGAACTTCCTTTCTGCCCCTCTGTAGAAGATTAATGAACCTAAAGATTAATGAACCTAAAGCTGATGGACGTATCGATGGAAGGAGGCTAAGAGATGTAAAAATGAGAAGTCATAAAAAATAAATGAAGACAGAAGGAGGAAAAAGTTGAAGGACGCATGGACGAGTGAGATTCTGCACACCTGTTGGATGTGAGCGAGCACTGCTGCTGCTTTTACTTCAACACAGTCACAGAGAGAAGTGTGCTGGTTGCTAGGAGACACACACGCACATACACAAACACACAGACACACTGAGATATATATACACAAAGACACACTCCTGCCAGCCCTCCTACGCTTCAACCTTGCTTCCTTTTACTTCCATTTATTACCAAGGATGATGCCAGAAAAGTGGCATATGGTGTGTGTGTGTGTGTGTGTGTGTGTGTGTGTGTGTGTGTGTGTGTGTGTGTTAGAGACACAGACAGGACATACCTTGTCAGGTCAGTGTTTGTATGATAATGGCAGACACAATAAAACACAACAATCAACTGATTCTAGCTGCTTTGATAACGTGTTTGCTGTTCTCATTAAGTGCCACAGAGTGCAGTTCCTCTACTGTCCTCTAGAGGTTTTATCCTGCAGTGAGTCAGTCACCACAGACTGTAAATACAAATGTTTGAAGCCTGAGTGACGTCACCCATCTGTTCCTGCAGGGGGCGCTGGAGTTCCATCGATGGCGGTCTCCATGCTGGAAATGCTGTCTCAGCCTAACTTTCAGTCAACCTAACGACAGGCTGAGAGCTGGAGCTGAGGCGGGTTTTAGCCCTCCTGACAAACCGTTAGACCGCGCCCGCCTGTCAATCATGTCAGCTACACGCTTTATTGTGAATAACTCTTATTCTTCATCAAATCAAAACGGATGAGTCATCAAAACATTCACCCCCCCGTACAGTGTGTGTCGATCGAGACATGAGCTCATCAGACCTGTTTGGTTTTTTAACCAGGCTGTAAACATGTTAATCTCTGCTGCAAAATAGGCTTTTTCAATGGGTGTGTATGTGACTTCCTGTGCTTCTGCAGCCAGCCTCTAGTGGACACTCGAGGAACTGCAGGATTTTGCAACTTAGTATTGGCGGAGGTTTGAGGTGCCGCTTGTTCAGTCTCCACAGAGCCCCATGTTAAAATGTCCAACTTTGCAGCTGCAGTTCCTCCAGTGTCCACTAGAGTCTGTCTCCTGCAGTGAGTCAGTCACCATGGAGTTGCTTTTTACATCATATTAAGGCTCAAAGGGATGTAGAATTAGGGGGCGTGGCCTCTTTGAGTGACAGGTACGAGCTGCTAGGTGTCCCCTCAGCTAATTCAGTCCCTGACCTTTAACCTCTGGGCCGTGTTTGTGCTGTTGGAACCTTTTGGAGATTTGTTCCTGTAAATATCAGACTAAAATTGCTCAAGTAGCAAACCTCCTGTGTTACGAAATTAAGCCAAAAATAGAAAAAAACTGCAGTTCCTCTAGTGTCCACTTGAGGCAGGTTGCAGTCTCATCTTCACAGCAGGATTAAACTCGTTCTCCTGCCTTAAAAATGATTTTGCTCTGATTTTATTTTTTTATAAACCAAGCCTGATTTGTAAAAGTGAAGTTAATCCAGGTGATGTGTGCGTCCTGTGTGACAGATTAACACCCACAGGGGAGTGATTTAGCTCCAGTATGAGAAAGTCAGATTAAATTCTTGTGACGTGCAGCGATAATCCCATCACAGGAAGTCCCAGTAGGTCGTTCTAACCTCCTCTGTGTGATCTGCATTTTGTGCATCTATTACATAAAAATCTGTAAACCCTTCCTGGAGCGGACACTTCTTCCTCTGAGCACAGTGACTCACTCGGCCGGGGCTCAGCAGATCCACTCGGGCTGAGAATGTGCAGCGTAGTAATCGTTCTTATTTATAGACGTGTATAAAGGTGGTGAGTCAGAGCTCAGGATGTCGCGGTGCCAAACGTCATGATGGCAGATAAAATGAACAAAGATGAAGAGAGACGACAGAAGTCATGGTCAGAACTGATACTCCTCATGGTGACGTCTGAAGCTGCTCCATGTTGACACTCAACGGAGAGACAACCGTTGTGGATTCGACCACAAAAAAATACTATTATGACGTTTATAACGACCAATCAAACCCTCCAAAGGGACTCAGGAGCACAATGTGGCGATGTTTAGAAAGAACTGGAAATGAAATGGAGGCAGAGCGGATTTGTGCCGTCATTTTCCCCACATTAACAGACAGTTAGGAGCATGGTGATGGCGTTCTGTTGGATTGAACACGTGTGTCTGCAGGTTAAGAATCTTTAGACAGTTACAGAGAGTTTGATGCCTCACTTCATAGCATTGATAACAAGTCCCAGTGATCACATTATCTTCAGATCTTCAGATGTTATCAATAAAAAAAACAACAAACTGTGGTCGTGTCTTCGTGGTCACTTTGTGTCTCTTTGTGGTTGTTTTGAGTCTCTGCGGTCCTTAAAATGTGCTGTTGTGATTGTAGTAAGACTGAGTGATCATATTGAGTCACGTTTGGTCCTTTTCGATCGTCTCTGTCGTATTTCTGCGTCTTTCAGAAAGAGTCTTTTTGAATACTTTTTCGGTCTCTTTGTGGTCGTTTTTGAATCTCTGTCTTCAAATCAAATCAGATCCAGCTTGATTTAAAAAGCAGATTTTAAACCCTCACAGTTGACTGAATATCTGAACAGCCTCGTGGAGATGTTGTCTTTGGTTATTTGGAGTATTTTTCTGAGGACATGTGGAGCCTCTTGCACATTTTTGACTATGCGCTGTGACCTTTTGCAACACTTTGAGCCTCCTGTGAATATTTTGTCTCTGTAGCCTGTTGGTATTTTAAGTGTCTATATCGTCATTTTTAGTCTCTTTGTGGTTTGAATTCATTTATTTTGTGTCCCTGTGTCTATTTTCTTTCCCCCTGCAGTCCTTGATTTGTTTTCCTTTTAGTCACTCTTGGTGTTTTGTTCCCCTTGTATGTTTTCTGTGTTTTCATTTTGCAGCGCACTGAGGCAGAAACCTGCTTTTTTTTGGTCATTTTTAGTCTCTTTGTGGCTGTTTGACTTCGCTGCACTGAGCTTATCACAGAGGTCTAAAGAAAGAGAGGTTATTGAAAGGATATAGATGTGTGTGTGTGTGTGTGTGTGTGTGTGTGTGTGTGTGTTTGTGTGTAACATCAGTCTGAATGTTTCTCTCTCAGATGTGAGTCAGAAGTTCAACAGTCGGAAATCTAGACTCCAACTCCCACAATCCTGCTCCTCTGACCCGCTCTGTTGCACTGACACTAAAATATCTTCCCCCTCCTACGACACAACGGAAGCTTTGTTCGATCAGTTTTATTCTTTATGTTCTCTGAGCATGAGCATCCCTCTCCACTTAAACTCATGTTCTACTCATTTATACGTTAGATTAACTGTTTTAGACAAAGTGGACTGGCTCCAGTGATTTGTTCTTGTTTGTTTTGTTTGATGATCCAGGAACCAGACCAGTGTGTACAGTATGTTTTGTTTTGTTGTAGTTGCTGTTGTTTTCTGCTGTATGTATTACTTTGTTTTTTTCGTATGTAGGGTGTTATGTTTTGGTTTTGTATTGCTGTGTTGTACCTGTGTCTTTGTAAATATATGTTTGGGAACC